GCAACGTTAACTATCTTGAGATCTATCTTGAGATCTATCTTGAGATGATTTCGGGGCTTTAGTGTCCCCGCGGCCCAGTCCTCGACCAGGCCTCCACCCCCAGGAAGCAGCCTGTGACAGCTGACTAACACCCAGGTACCTATTTTACTGCTAGGTAACAGGGGCATAGGGTGAAAGAAACTCTGCCCATTGTTTCTCGCCGGCGCCCGGGATCGAACCCGGGACCACAGGATCACAAGTCCAGTGTGCTGTCTGCTCGGCCGACTGCAGTCCATCAGGCCTGGGGCCAGATTCACGAAGCTGTTACGCAAGCACTTACAAACCTGTACATTTTTTCTTAATCTTTGGCGGCTTTGTTTACAATTATTAAACAGTTAATGAGTTCCGAAGCACCAGGAGACTGCTTATAACAATAACAACAGTTGATTGGGAAGTTTTCATGCTTGTAAACTGTTTAATAAATATAACCAAAGCCATCAAAGATTGAGGAAAGATGTACACGTTCGTAAGTACTTGCGTAACTGCTTTGTGAATCTAGCCCCTTGGTATTTTTGGAATGTCTTATGGATATTTCCTCTAAGCTCATTCTTGCACTGAGTGAGTTTGAGGGCTGACCTCAAACTCCTCCCCTCCACCCACCTCTGGCTCCAAATCATTCCAGAGTTTCAGAGTTGGGGTGGGGGTTTAACTTGGGATGTGATTCGGCCTTCTCTGGAGGTGGCTGCTCCTGCTTCAGGCATGGAGGTAGTTCAGCTGCTTAGTCCTACCAATATTTTTGGGGTTTTCTTAACATACTTTCAACTGATCTATTCTTCCAAGACCTCCTCTTTGGAATCTGCTTTTCAGTCCCAGGCAGTGAGCATGGACTCCAGCTATACCCCAGAGCCAGTGTGTTTGGCTTCCTGGGGCTATGGAAGAATCTGATTAGGGTCTCTGTGCTCCCTTAGATCCCACGTGGTCCTTTGTCCCTTCCAACAAGGATTTTTTTACTTCAGGATGAGGGATTTTCTTACCCACCCTCCCTTTATGATTTTGATCATTCTGCAACTCCCACCATGGTTCGTTTCCATGTATCATATGGTCCACTGAATTCGTCCTTCCAAAAGTAACTTTCCTCTCGGGTGCCTCCAGCATGATTCTGATTTTGGCTCTCTGATGGATACTGCCTCTTTCAAGTTTAGGCCTTCCTCACCACACTGGCTGCCTTTTGAGATTCCAAAGATCCCAAAGTCAAAGAGATTCCTCTCTTTTCCCAGGATGTAGGATTGATGAAGCTTCAAACCCATTTGCCTTTGGTGTTGCAGCCCTTAAGACAGATAACTTGCAGGCAGGCTCACACTTGGCTGTGGTTGTGCATTTTCTTTCTCTCATGGAGATTTTCTGACTGACTCCATGAGGATGTTGGTTTGCATGGTTTGGGGTTGGAGTGAAGACCTTTGTTGCTAGTCATAGGGGTTTCAGCGGCTTTGCCTAAGCTGTGTGCAACCCTGTGCCCCAGGAGTTGGCTGCTATGTTCAACTCTGCTCATCTCACATGTTGGCATACTGTGTTAGCCCAGTTTTTGGATTCACCTTGGTCCTTGGTCTCTTGGTCCTTTTGTTCACTTCCCCCTTTTCACCTCTCCTCTTTTCAGATAAGATTGTCACACAGTTCTTGTCTTCTGTGTTGGTTTCAGGCTGACCCATTTCTCAGTTATTATGTATGCTCTTCCTCATTTTTGGAGGTGGTCGGTTTGGACTGGGGCATCACCTGCTGCTGGTCAGGGTAGGCCTTTGGTGGTGCTCGATTCTGGGGTTTAGTTTCCATGCTGCTCATGTCTGGGGAGTGTCCAACAATCTTGTGGACAGTCTCTCTTCTTTCCTGCCTATCTTCACAGAGTGGACCATCAATGCTGCCTCCTTCCAGTGGCTTTGTGAGACATTTGGGCATCCCTACAAGGATTTCTTTTTTTCATCGGTCAGGAATTGGCACTTTCCTTTCTACAAGGCTCAATTCCCTGATTGCAAGGCCCTCACAGTGGATGCCTTTCAGCTGGACTAGTTGCGGTGGGGGTTTCTCTACCCCTTTCCCCCTATCAGGGAAGGGGGGAGGGGACTACCAGGAAGTTCTATCAGGAAAAGGTGATCCTTCTGGCTCCTTGGTAGCCACCTCAGCCTTTATTTCAGATGCTTCTTATATGGGTCCAATCCTGGGTGGTTTTCCAAAGCTCTGCCTCTTTTCATCCCTCCTCTGAAGATCAGCCCTGTGATGTACCTTGTGTTCGAACCTCTGCTTGTCTCTTCACATCTGGTCTTTCTGACTCATCTCTTATTGCCATCTTAATGTGAGCAGGTCATTGATTTGATGGTGCCCCCACCTGCATTTCTTTTCCCAGCAGCAGTATGATGTAGCTTGGCACTTTTTACACCATTTCTTGTCCTTTCGTCATCATTTTTCCGTCTCTTAGTGTTGTCCTTTTGTTTCTCTCTCGGTTGTTTCTCAACTGGTATCTCATGCCTCCTAATACTGTCGGCAATTATTGTTCAACACGGGTGAAACTGCTACTGCTTGTGTTTAGCACTGAAAATACTTTGATGCCATTTCGGAAGCTGTCTCGCACATTATTTCACCTTCGGTCTGCTCATGTGCCATCTTCCTGATCTCTTGACCATATCCTCATTTTTTTCTTCTCCTTGGTCTCCCCTTTGATCAGTGATTATTTCCAGAAAGCAGATTTTTTGCTGGTTCTTTCCTTAGTTGTAGGGTCAGGGAGCTACATGCTCTTCTCCAGAGGTTGGGTCTTTGTTCTTTTCGCCTGGGTGGACATTATGCTCGTTTGCAGCTGTCTCCTCTTCTTCTGGTGATGAATGAGTCAGCAGGCTTCCAGAGGGGTCCTTTGGTTGTTGTTGTTTGTTTGGTTCAACAAGGGGTGCATCACGTGTTGTGCCCAATGGCAACTCTTCGCTGCTACTTTCATGCCAAAGATTCAGCTTTGGTAGATGGTTTGTAGGTTGATTCTCATCCTTTGGTTCCCTGTTCCAAGGCTAGTATTTCTCAGGTTGCCCTCAATGCTATTAAGTCCCGCCAACCTGCAGTCTACCCTCATGCACATGAAGTTTGTAGGTATGCTGCTCTCGCAGCAGTCTTTGCTAGCATGTCCGGGTCTGATATCCGGATGGAACCCATCCTCCGAATTGACAGTACGATTTAATACTAAGTGTAATAAGTACACTTTCTTACTGTAATAAGCAGTGCATAATTGCACTTACGGGGCTGTTACATTGACCCAACTCCCTCCCCCACTTTAATTCTTCTCGTTTTCTGTTAAGTCACTCATAATTTTAGGATGACGTTTTCAATTTCGACTTGCAATACACAAGTTTTAAATATCAGGAATTTCTTTTTCAGGTTTATTAAACAACATAGATTTTATGCAAAATTTTAATATATCCTGAGTTAATTTACAATTTATTGATATATTTTAGTTTTGTTTTATTAGTTTTATAAAACTGTAATATCAATATGGCTATAAGTTAAGTACTAATTGTAATTAGGAAGCAATAAAATTATTATCTTCAAAAACTAAGACGGTTAGGTGAGGTTGTGGTTTTCTATTCAGTTTTTCAGGTAAACTCAAATATTCACAATATATTTGACAGTACGATTTAATACTAAGTGAAAATAAGTACAATTCCTAACTGCTATGAATAGTACATAATTGCACTTAATTGTCTTCTTACATTTACCACCCCATTTTTGGAGGACGGGCTGCCGGATGCAGGGGTTTTGCCAGTCAAACAGGGTCTTGGTGGCCCGGTATATAGTTAATGTTCCTAAGCCTCATCATGTCAGTGTTGCCTTGGGTCATCTCTCTTGGCCAGTTGACTCTTCTTTATGTTAATTACCTGCGGTCTCCCCTCCTCCCAGGTATGTCCTTCCTCATCTTTCTTCTCCATGGGTCGTTAGCTTTCCCCAGAAAACCAGTGTTGAATATAATGAAATCCCTTTTTCTCGATGAGCCCTGGTGGTTTTCTGGTTTCAACCCCCCACCCACTGCCCTTCCAGGTCTGTGGGATGGTGTTCATGGCCTTCACCTCTGCTCCAGAACTGACTTGGAAGGCTGGAGGGAAGACCTGGAGCTCCGGCTCTTCCTTATTTAAGTGCTAATGAGCTTAAACTAGTTTTGAGATATTTGATTGTTTGTTTACATTGTTTGGGGAGTTCATTTGGCAGTTTAAAGGCTTCATTTCTTTGGAACATAACTGTGGTCTGAACTAGTTCACTGACTTTTCAGGATGCTTTCCCAGTGGAGTAGTAGAGTGTCACCTGCTCTCTGCACCTCCTCTGGCTCTAGTCCCCCGGCAACCCAAACAGAACTCTCTGACCGAGTAGTTGGGAGCCATCTCAGTGAGACAGCTTCAGGGAGCAAGTGGGACTCATCCAGAAAGGTGTTTCATTACATTCAATGCTTGTTTTTTATTTTAATATTCTTGGGCATGATTATCCACAAGTGCCAAAACATTTCTAAATAATAAATTTTGATGTATAATAAGAAAACTTATGTTTCCTACTATGTAAAAATAACCAGAGAAATGTCATTTTGCATACTTGATAATTATAAGTAGAACCCAATTCTCTTGGTTCTCAACAGTACTAAAGATCAATTACTGTCAGTTCAAAACAAAATTCCTTCAGGCAAAAAGTCTTTAAATGTTATCCTTATGGTGGGTGGGAAGAGGAAACATACTGCAGCACTGCAATGTGTACAATGTTTCATTTTCTAATGGCTGAGGATTCACAAATACATACACTACAATTTTTGTTAGACTTCCTTAAAATTAACCATGCTTACTGAAGGAAAGATATCTGATAAGTTCGCAAGCGTATTACCTTGTTTCTCCGAACACTTCTGCATAACATTTGAACGTCTGTTGAGGGCAAAATGCATAGGAGTCTAAAAAAAAAAACAGTGTTCATATCATAATAAACAATAAAAAATGAAAAAAATCAACGGTACTTACAACACAAGGAGTCTTCCCCATCTGGAGTTCCAACGGTAGCCACAGAAGAAATGCCAGTGTAAGGCTGAACATAGTTGGAAGGGAAGACACCAATAGCACCTTCAAGGGTCCCTTTCCACCAGGCTGCATCTTCCTTATCTATCACAGATATTATGGCTCCAGCTTCAAAAGTGAGTTCATCTTCATTCATTGCAGTGTAAGGATATAATGCTTCTACTTGTTCTGCAAACCCTGTGAAATGGCAAAAATGCAAAAAATAAAACAAATGTATAACAAATACATCATAGTTAATATAAAAATTGCAAATCTACATATACAGACTTTTCTTCTGCAACTTAGAACTGAAATGAACAAAGTGTAGTGTAGTGTTAGAACTGATATGAGTAAAGGAACATGTTCTAAAGCTCTTACACTGCCTCACATCTCTAACATCTACCGTTTGCTAATTATTTTTTCACACTGTCAGGAACAGGATGACTATTAGGCTTATTGTGGAACCTCTAGCCACAAACTAGCCATTCCCTAGAATGCAACCCAGAACAGTTGATTAACTCCAAAGTACCTACAGAATTTAATGTAAGGTGAAAAGAGGCATCATATTTAAGGGAATGTGCAAAAACCATCTCATCCATCCCAAAAATTAAAATCAGGAACAATCCTGCACTAACCACATGGAGGTGTGCTTACAAAGCAGCAATCTATGCCAACACTGTGACTACTGTCAGTCACCTGACCTCTCAGCTTGCAGCACTCCACATTTGGTCGAGGTGTTTTCAGGGCTTAGCGAACCTGCGGCTCGGTCGTCGACCAGGCCTCCTGGTTGCTGGACTGGTCAACCAGGCTGTTGGATGCGGCTGCTCGCAGTCTGATTGATCAGGTATCCTTTGGAGGTGTTTATCAAGTTTTCTCTAGAACACTGTGAGTGGTCGGCCAGTTATGCCCCTTATGTGTTGTGGAAGCGTGTTGAACAGTCTCGGCCTCTGATGTTGATAGAGTACCTGTTGCACCTCTGCTCTTCAACGGGGGTATTCTGCACATCCTGCCATGCCTTCTGGTCTCATGTGATGTTATTTCTGTGTGCAGATTTGGGACCAGCCCCTCTACTATTTTTCATGTGTAAATTATTATGTATCTCTCCCACCTGCGCTCAAGAGAATACAGATTTAGGCTCTTTAGTCGGTCCCAATAGTTTAGATGTTTTACTGAGTGGATTCTAGCAGTAAAGGATTTCTGCACGCTCTACAGGTCAGCAATTTCTCCAGCTTTGAAAGGGGCTGTCATTGTGCAGCAGTATTCCACTCTAGAGAGCACTAACGTCTTGAAAAGTATCATCATCGCTATAGCATCTCTAGTGTGAAAGGTTCTTGTTATCCAACCTATCATTTTTCTTGCAGTTGTGATGGCTACTTTATTGTGTTCTTTAAAGGTAAGGTCTTCCAACATGAGTACACCCAAATCCTTTACATTGCCTTTTCGTTCTATGTTATGATTTGACTGCGTTTTGTACGTGGTTTCCGTTTTTATATTTTCATTTTTTCCATAGCCCATGAGCTGGAACTTATCTTCGTTTAACACCATGTTATTTTCTGTAGCCCATAGAAAGACCTGATTTACATCTGATTGGAGGTTTGCCATGTCCTCCATGTTGTCTACTCTCATAAAAATCCTAGTGTCATCTGCAAAGGATGATACAGTACTATAGATTTTCTTTGTCTATGTCCGATATGAGAATGAGAAAACGTACTGGAGCAAGCACAGTACCCTTGAGAGGTTATCTTGAGATGTTATCTTGAGATGATTTTGGGGCTTAGCGTCCCCACGGTCCAGTCCTTGACCAGGCCTCCTTTTTGTTATACACCCCCAGGAAGCAGCCCGTAGCAGCTGTTTAACTCCCAGGTACCTATTTACTGCTAGGTAACAGGCGCATCAAGGTGAAAGAAACTCTGCCTATTTGTTTCCGCCTCCACTGGGGATCAAACCCGGAACCTCAGAACTACGAATTTGAAGCGCTGTCCACTCAGCTGCCAGGCCCCCTAAAGAAGATGGTATTTTGAGCCATGGGTGGAACTCCGGACTGCAAGGCAACGGAGGACGCTCCAAAAACATCATTGTAGCAGAGCTTAGTTTCGATTTACGGACCACCCCTGGGTTATGGGTCCAGCATAATTCCACTGCATCACTCTGCTCCTGACTGATGATTCCACTGCACTCACTCTACCCTGGGGAACTGAGCTCTTCACAGTTGATGGGCTGGATTTTATTTTGTTGACTATTACACAGTGGGTTCTGTTAGTCAGGAAATTGTAGATCCATCTGCCTATTTTTCCAGTAACTCCTTTGGAACGCATTTTATGTGCAATAACACCATGGTCACATTTGTCGAAAGCTTTTGTGAAATCTGTGTAAATTACATCAGCATTTCGTTTGTCTTCCATGGCATCTAATGCCATATCATAGTGGTCCAGCAACTGTGACAGGCAAGAGTGCCCTGTTTTGAAACCATGTTGTCCGGTGTTATGGAGATCCTGTAATTCCATGTATTTTGTGATCTTACTTTTTAGCACTCTCTCAAAGATTTTTGTGTGTGATGCTAGTGCTATCGGTCTGTAATTTTTTGCCTCTGCCTTATTTCCTCCTTTATGGAGTGATGCTATCTCTGCTGTTTTTAGTATATCAGGGATAACCCTAGTATCTAGGCTTTGTCTCCAAAGAATGTGAAGAGCCTGTGATAGTGTTTTTTTACAGTTCTTGATGAATATAGAGTTCCAAAAATCAAGGCCTGGTGCAGAGTGCATAGGCATACTGTTTATGGCTTCTTCAAAATCCAGTGGGGATAGGGTGATATCTGATATATGATTTGATGTTGGTATCATATCCATGAAAAATTCATTTGGGTTATCAATCTTTAGTGTTTAGTGGCTCGCTGAAAACAAAGTTGTACTGCTTCCTCAGTATCTCACTCATTTCTTTGTTGTCATTGGTGAAAGTTCCATCTCCTTTTCGCAGGGGCCCGATACTAGATATATTTTTTTTATCTTTATTTTGTATAGGAGAAAAAATATTTTGGATTTCTCTCTATTTTACTGATGGCCTTTTGCTCTCTTTGTCTCTTCTGGGTTTTGCATGATTCTTGTAGCTTAAGTTCAATTGTTTCTATTTCTCTACCTAACCTTCTTCGTCGTTCTTGAGATAGGGTGCAACTCTCAAGTTGTTCCGCGATTCGTTTTCTTCGCCTATATAGGGAACGACGTTCCTGTTCCAATCGGCATCTCTTCCTCTATTTTCTTAGGTGTATGTGGTTTGAGCATATTTCTAGTGCTACTGAGCTTATTTTCTCCAGGCACTGGTTCAGGTTTGCATTTTCTAGCTGTTCTTCCCAGCTTATTTCTGTGAAGTCTTGGTTTATTTGCTCCCAGTTTATCTGTTTATTATTTAAGTTGAATTTGCTGAAGTCTCCTCCACCGGGAATCGGGACTGGTTTTGAAGGTCTATTCCCCATGCTTGTCAGAACTTCAATTATGTTGTGATCTGAGTAACAGTTATTTGTAATTATTATATTCCTGATCAATTCATCATTATTGGTGAAAATGAGGTCCAGCGTGTTCTCCTTCCTAGTTGGTTCTACTATTTACTGGTTTAAGGCAAACCTATCGCACATCCATAGCAGGTCATTTGCATGTGCCTGTTCATTTAGGCTACTTCCCAGAATTCTCTCTGATATAACTATATTAGCTAGGGTCTTCCATTTCAGGTGCTGTAGGTTGAAGTCCCCAAGCAGGATGATGTTTGGGGTTGGATTTGTGAGGTTTTCAAGCAGTGTTCTATTACAATCACCCTTTACCTTATACAACTCCACTCTGTCCCTCTTATTTATTGAAGAATATACTGACTATTGTGTTACTGTATGTTATACTTTTTCTCTCTGTCCACTCTTTTGGATTAATCTAAGAGAATATGATACAATTATATCATACGATGAAACTTCACCTATCTTAATACCATACTCTCAAGAGCATTGAACACACACACACAGAAGTCAACAATAGGAGCGCCAAGGCAAGTGCTGCCTTTGAATGATTCTATGAGATTGTCTGGGAGAAGAAGGGGCCCCTCAGTCTTACCACTAAACTGAAGGTCTACTATGCAGTAGTACTCACCACCTTCCTGTAAACCAGCATGATCTGGACTGTTTACAGCAGACACATCAAAAAGCTCAATCACTTTCACTTAAACTGTCACTGCATATTCCTCTGCATTAGGTGGCAGGACAAAATCCTGGACATGAAGGTTCTGGAAAGAACCAGTATTTCCAGCATCTATACCCCCCCCTAACAAGAATCTCGGGCCAGATGAGCGGGCCATGATGTCAGAATGCTTAACAGGCAATTGCCAAAATAGGTTTTGTATGGAGAATTATGTCAGGGGCACACATTCAGTTGGGGACACAAGAAATAATTCAAGGACTGCCTCAGAGTGACCCTCAAGGACTTTGACATCAACCACAGCACTTGGGAGTTACTTGCTCAGGACGATCCGACTTAGTGAAGCACAGTCACTAAAGGGGTCCATGCAGCAAAACAGATGGACTGTGGAGGCCCAGAGGAAACACACCGTGTGCAAAGTTATAGCAACCTCCACCTCTACAGCAGTACCCACCCTATGTCCCATATGTGGGACACATTCTGGACCCAGATTGTTCTCATTAGCCATCTTTGGACACACAACAACCATTCTTCTACCTGATATTAAAATCATGGTCAACTTTGAATTCGAAGGACAAATATCATCATCATATTTGAGTGTTAGACACAAAACATCACAACAGCATATGCTACATTTTAAACATACAAAAACACAAATAAAGCATTGATAAGAAATGCAGTTCTTCATACAGTAAAGTTTCAACATAAAATGGTGCTCAGTCTTTACAAATTTAATTTAAAATTCAAACTTAAGTATATAGTATTTGAACTGTGAGAAATGAATCAGTAACAATATCATATAAAAAACATTTTTTAAACAACACTAAACTTACCGTTAGATGCATCATTAGGACCCTTCATGGGCTCATCAGTAGGTGGAGTAATAGTAACTTGTGTTAGTGAAGTACTTGTGCTTTCTGGGATTTGTATGTCATCAGGTGGAGCATCTTCTCTATTGGTCATCTCCATTGATACTGGAGTGGAGCGAGAGGATCCACCCAAAACCTTAACATAGGTGGCAGGAAACCATCCAATTTGACGTTTCTTGCCTTTAGCCTAAAATAATAATATTGACTGCATTTATCAAAAATTTATTTTTAAAATCTGTAAGTAGCAGACAAGATCACTTATGACTGATGCCTCATGTGTCCAGTCTTACACTTATGCTACATTGCTACCCTAATAATCTCACAGTTACTGCTGACAGTGTGTGTTAATACCTATTTGGTGCTGTCTAGCTGTAATTGCAGGTAGAGAGCTAAGCTCATGGTTATTCCCCAAGTGTAATTACGTAAGTGAAGTTACAGGATGAGAGCTGTGCTTGTGGTGTCCCATCTTCCCAGTACTCTTTGTCATATGTCTCTTAAATAAACTACTGATGGTTTTGATATCCACCACCTACTCACTTAACTTGTTTCCAACCATCAACCATGCTGCGACAGCAAACTTTCTAATGTTAGTGTCCCCGCGGCCCGGTCCTCGACCAGGACTCCACCCCAAGGAAGTAGCCCGTGACAGCTGACTAACACCCAGGTACCTCTTTTACTGCTAGGTAACAGGGGCATAGGGTGAAAGAAACTCTGCCCATTGTTTCTCGCCGGCACCCGGGATCGAACCCGGGACCACAGGATCAAAAGTCCAGCGTGCTGTCTGCTCGGCCGACCGGCCAGGAGTAACAGTGTACCAAGGGCTGCATGCGTTTAGGAATGCTGGGGTTTCAACTTCTGCTAGTCGAGGTGGGCATTAGTTGACTGCTTCTGTGCCGGTTGCCTCCTCAGGGGCTCTCTTCGCCTGGTCTGTGCAGTGCTTGCTCTGCTCGGTGGTCAGGTTCTCGGAGGGGGTGCCGGCCCCTTCACAGGTCACCCCGTTGACCCACGATGGGGGTGAGGCATGCTCTGTTTGCCAACGCTTGGTCCCACGAATCGTGTGCATTTTGGGTGGTGTCTTCTGGCCTATGGTGGCATTGGGTGGCTCCTCCTCTTCTCAGTCTCGGAGTTGGCGGGTCAGGCTTCTCCCCCTGAGACCCGTCGGGTCATATTGGAGTGGGAGCTCCTAGGCGTGGTCAATGACCTCGTCCCTCAGGTGGGTTTCCCCGCTTGTTCCTGTGCCGTCACGGGACTGTGCGGATCTTATGTTCTTCTGGACTTGTCCCATCTGCACTGCTGAATTCCTTGCCCCTTCATTCGGATGGCCTCTCTGTCTCAGATCTGGCTTCTTTTGGAGCCGAGTTGTTCAATGGTGTGTCTGGCCCTCTGGGATGTGTATTGACATGTCCCTTCATCCTAGGTTCAGGGACTGGTTAGGTTTCATGGTGGGGTGGTGTGCTTCTTGTTTTCGTTACCTTCTTTTTGGCCTACCTAGATGGTTGGTGGGGGCTCCCAGCCAGTCTGCTTGTCTGCTCGCAAGAGGGGTGGTTCTTTCCCAGCTCGCCAGGGTTTGGGTTCCTGGTGACCTTGGGGAAGTTCCATCTAGTTCCGTTTCAGATTTGGACATGGCTCGGCCTCGTGTGGGTCTCTTCGTCCGCTTCCATGTTTTTCCCTCCTGTGGCATTGCTGCCACCACTACAGTCTCGCCATCTGCTGTTCCTGGTGGGGGGGGGGGGGGGGGTCCTGTGTCATTTGGCAGTTCCTCAAACTGTTGTGCAGCAGTCTGCACTTAAATGTGCTGGTTTAACCATCAGGTCCTTAGACAGAGTGCTCTCTCTTCTCTCTTCTCCTTGGTTTGTGGTGGCCCCTACCGTTCGAGATTGCTTCCAGAAGGTTCTGTTTCTGTTGGCACTGGCCTCTGGGTGTCGGGTCAGTGAGCTTCATGGTCTCCTCCGGCACAGAGATTTCTGCTTTTTTGGGCCTGGTAGTCATTTTGTTCAGTTGCAGCCGTCTCCTTTTCTGGTGAAGAACGAGACGATGGGCTTCCGGAGGGGTCCGTGGGTTATTGATGCTTGGTTGGTCAAGCCAACCAGTCAGCTCTGGTAAGCCGACTAGCCTTCATAAGAGAAAGGGGGGTGCATCATGTGTTGTGTGCAGCTCTGCACCGTTAACTGCGTGTCTCAGCCTCTGTGGCTGTGGACGTCTTTTGGGTTAATCCAATTTCTCTTGCCCTGTTCCAGGGCTCGAGTCTCTCAGGTTGTCCGCAGGATTATTAAGTCTAGTCAGCCTGCGGTCTCCCCTCATGCCCATGACGTTCGTAAGTATGCTGCTTTGATTGCCGTGTTTGGCAACATGTCATGGGTTGAATTTTGGGCGCAGGGGTTTTAGAGGTCGAACAGGGTCCTGGCCGCCCGTTATTTGGTAATGTTCCTGGGCCACGTCATTCATATGTGGTTTCGAGTCGCAGTTTGCAGCCAGTTGTCTCGCCTTTGAATTGATCCACACGATGCGGCGGCCTCCCGACTAAGTCACTATTTTTACTTTTCTCTGGTTATATAGTTCCAGCGAGCTGAAGGGGCTCCCCACAGAAAACCAGCGTTGAATATAATGAAACGCCATTTTCTGGGTGAGCCCCGGAGGCTCCCCGGCACCTTCCCTCCTTTCGGTTGGTCGGCGGTTTCGTTTTTAATGCTCAGCCTCCGAACTGAGGTATGAGTAGGGTGGGGAGGGGTGTGCAGAGAAGCGGTGCAGTGGCGGTGAATGACGATTGCTTGTTTCCTATGTGGAGGTCTGTTTCTCTGTTTGGTCTTGGGTTTTTGCAATTTCCTACCATGTGGGGTTTGTTTTGAGATGCCTACCTTTCTGGGTGCTTAACCTTGGTAGATGGCAGACGAGAACTACCCCCCAAATACAAGGGGTCTCCCGAGGCCATTGCTCGGTGTGCCTCTCTAAGGGGGGCCAGGTTCTGGCTCTGGTCTCCGGTAGGCAGAACTACACTGACTGAAGCCCCAGACTAATATAGTGCATATCAGTCCTATAGCTCGAGGGAACCTCTAGGGCTCACCCAGAAAATGACATTTCATTACATTCAAGACTGGTTTTTTGTCTTTTGTTATCTGGTCCTCTCACAGTCTGCTGAAACAATCCTGCTTCATAGTTCTGCATCTTTGTAATGGTATAAATTTTGTCGTACCTTTATCATATCTCTCTCAAAATTTGGCATATATCTGCCGATGGCGGCGGCTGGAGCCGGCAGCTAAGCGGACAGAACACTGGACTGTGGTCCTGGGTTTGATACCGGGCGCCGGCGAGAAACAATGGGCAGAGTTTCTTTCACCCTGATGCTCCTGTTACCTAGCAGTAAATAGGTACCTAGGAGTTAGTCAGCTGCCACAGGCTGCTTCCTGGGGGTGGAGGCCTGGTCGTGGACCGGGTCGTGCGGACACTAAGCCCCAAATTCATCTCAAGATAACCTTAAGATATCTTGCTTATTTTCTTACCTATCAATAAATCATTGTAATCAACTACATTAAAGAACTTGTAAAATTCTCTGTAGTGTCTTCTCTTGAAATCAGTTTTTTTCACTATTTCTCATTCCTGTACTTTTCTCTATGGAAATCTAGTCTGTGTTCCAAAGTGTTTTCATTGGTCTTAATAATGGTGTACAGTATTTTATTGTAAATTATATTTATATTTCACCATGACTGCTTTCTTGTATAAACTTGGAATATTGTACTTCAAAAACCTCTTCCTCTATATGTTGAATAACATTTCTACTTTATTATTGCAGTCATCTCTAGTCTATATATTATTATGCTTTGGATTGTATGAATTTATGATCATAATATTTTCCTCCCTTTAATATGTCTCTGCTGATATACAGTACTATCAATGTCTTGCATAACCATTAGGTTTTGCAAATCCTTTTGCAATCTACAAATTGTTTGATTACTTTAACTCTTCAATTGTTTTTTAAACTTTTGTCAAAATCATCCCTTCCTAATACATCTTAATTCTCAACTATAACTCCCTTACTTGGATACAAGACAGTATAACCGACTTGTTCCAGTCACCCAAAGCCTATGTGAGCTTAATTTTCCACTTTACATTCTTCTATTCCTTTATTCTTTCCGACCTGTCCAAATATCCTTGCCATGCTAAATGTCCTTGCCTAACTTTTCACATGAAGTAGCATCTAAGCTTGACCTAACCTTATTCACAGCTCTTTTTTTTTTTTTAACTTTGTTTTTCTCCTATAAATTTATTCCTTTAGATTTCAAGATCTGATTTTCTCTCTTATTTCCTGCTATGTTCTCCAAATTTTATCTACACATATATGTTTTATCTTAATACTGTAATCACATTCTTTCTATTTATTCAAGTTTCTTGTGACACCACTGTTACAGCGCCAACCCTGTCCACAGATGCTGAGCTAAGGTAATCTTTTATAGACACTGGTGGATGTCGTTTGCAGCTGGCAGTGGTGATATAGAATGTGTAATTGCATAAGTTACATAATGAGACCTATGCTCCTGGTTTTGGCATACACTACTCTCTCCTTTAAATTATTCCATCATTTTCAAAACAGTATTTACACATTTTATAGGCACTTTTGTTTTCTTAGCTTAAATTTAAAGTCCCCTTGTTCTTGATAATGCAGCTTTAAAACATTCTTCAAATAAATTTTCTTCATTCATTACAATTTAGTATGTATGTGATGATTATGTCACCTCTTTCTTTTTTCAACCGGTTTTTGCACATCTAATGCTTCCTTAACCCTTTAACTGCGCAACGCACCTGCAGGCCCACGTCTGGGGGTGCGCTACGCGCCTCCGGGTATTTGTATTTTTCATGGTCCATTCAAAACTCTCGCGGCTATACGGGGTTCACATCAGCTTCCTCAGGGCTCTTGTAAACAGACGCCATCTATAAAAAAAATCGTGGTCCACATTCTCGGGTGTGAGAGCCTCAGTATTGAGTGAGCAACCAAGGCCGGCGCACGCAGCATGAGCTCACAGCACTGCTGTTCAGCTTGTGACCACAGCATCGCCTAATAATGTCAAAAAATATATATAACTTATATTATTTAGCCATGATACTATTACAGAAGAGCCCGAGTGTGATAATGACTGTGTACAATGTTCAAATATTAGTGATTCAATGCTGTTCACGATGTTCACAGCACTAGCCACAGCACCACAGCATTATTTCGTCCATCTAGGAACCTTCAAGCGACTTCTTAGGTTCCTTTACAAAATAAACTTGTGGTCAATTATGTATTTACAGGATTTAGTGACCAGGATTGTGGTGATAATAAGCACTGTGCATAGTATTGTGGGAGGAGGAATTGTGGTGAGGGAGGGAGAGAGAGAATCGAGGTAGCCTCACTGTGTGTGGCAGCCACTCTTGTTTTGCTCATCATACTAGCTTAGTGGTTCGCTATGGTGAACACATTTGTACTTGGGTATATACAATGTGTGTATATAGTGTAGTAACAGCAATAGGAGTACGTTGGGAGGAGCTATGTTTGTGAGGGAGGTGACATAATCGTAGTGTCGTCTGCTGGCTTCTGTGTGATTTCTCATGCAGTGTATGGTGGCCACTGTAAAGTTTGGACACAGTACCGGCTTACTTGCATAGTTCTGGTGAATAAAACATGTAGATAGGTATGCATAACATGTGTAAATAGTGTAATACAAACAATAACAGTATGGTGGGAGGAGCAACATTGGCGAGTAAGATGGAGGAGTGAGGGAGAGACTGGATGTTGGAGAAGTGAGGGAGAGACTGGATGTTGGAGGAGTGAGGGTATGGCAGCTGACACTCGCGGAGTTCTGAGTGTGCTGATGGTGAATGTATATAGTGTGTGATAGTGTATAGTGTGTAAATAGACTGTATATATACATAAATTAGCATGGTAAAATGGAAATATGTGCCAGATATGTGTACACATGTCATGCACATAACAGTGTCTTCGGACAGTACGGATGTTCTACTGCCATAATATAGTGTACATGTTCATTATATATAGGATTGGCACGTAAAAGCATATAAAATGTATTTGGAACTGTACGCAGAAAATGAACAAAAATATATTCGCGGCAACTCGCGCATCCTGCTCCGAGCGCCCTACTGGTCCCGGGGGCGTACTCCATGGGCGACCAGGGAATGATGACGTCACGCACAAACTTACGGACTCCATTGCAGCCAAAGTACGTACAATTTCGACCTTCTGTTACTATACAGAAGGGTTTTTGGCACTTTCATATACTCAGTGCCTTCTCAGGGAAGGGTATATACTCAGGGAAGGGTTTTTGACACTTTCAAAACAGAAAAGATTTTTTTCCAGAGATTTTATTTTCTGCGCACTGGGGGTTGTCATATTTGGAGGCTGCGCAGTTAAGGGGTTAATAGCTCTTGTAATGTAAATCAAGATGCTACTTTATAGCATGCCTTTTCACTCTTTCAACTTTACTGATGTGCTTTTTGAGATATGGGCACTAAGTAACTACAGCATGTTACACTTTAGGTGTCACGAATGATGTGGTTAGTTTTCCAGCACAAGTTTAAGCATGCGTAAATAAAATACTTGCATCGATAAATTTCCTGGGATTAAGTTCCTGAGTCGAGCCTTACAACTATTAACTGTCCAAATTTACGTCCCCCCAACCCCATAAATGTTATCATATTTATGTTTTAATTCATGTACATACACAGTACTATTAAATATTACCTGGAGTTCTCCTTCCCACCATCCAGAAGCAGTTTTTTTGCGAATCATGACCAGCTGTCCACGCTGTAGGCTGAGTTGGTTACTGCTAGTGGCATCATATGGCGCTAGGACTGATGCTATTTCTGGTTTTTTCCCTTTACTTCCCTGTAATATGATCTACCATTAGCATTTTGCGTATACAGCATTCCAAACTGCTAAAACAGTTAAACTACTGCAACAGTGGCAACGACTGCTGCTACTACTACTATTATACTATTACGAGTACTTCTACTGTACTATTATTTCACTTACAATTATACCAGTTACAATTATACTATTACCTGTACTTCTACTGTACTATTTTACCACTTACTATTACGAATACTATTACCAGTACTTCTACTGTACTACTATAACACTCACTACTGTATTATACTATTACAGTACAGTACTTCAACTATACTATTATACTATTACCAGTACTTCTACTATACTCTTATACCACTTACTACTATACAACAATACCACTACAAAAAATTTATAATAATAATAATATTAATAATATAGGATAAAAACCTACACTTGTGTATTAGGGCATGGGCTGGTAAGCTGTACCCTAGAGTACGAACTCGCGAAACCCGACCTTACTGGCTTATAGTACTGTATAGCTATGTACTTTAAACCAGGGATGTAGAACCAATCTGCATTAATAAACACTTCAAACACGAGAATGACCACATGGGACCGGTACCATATTTTTGCATTGGCGGGACTCGAGAAACAATCAAAGTGCATGCATTACATTTATTTAAACACAGGAAAAGGGATAATACACTAACAAGGAAAAATCTCATTTGTCAGATTAACGATTATTGTTCCAGACACTCAGATATAAATGGAGGTCAATAATTTCATACAGTGAGGCGAGTACCTCACGAGCACATACCACACAACCTGTGTGTGTGGAGTCTCAGCCCTCTGTCTCTCGTGGAGTGCAGGGATGCTCCTCTCATGAAAACAAGTGGGAAAGCTTTACACACAGAATCACACTCATTTACTAATACATACTCTCAAACACAAATGAAACAAAAATTAAAACAAATAAAACAAACTGGTATTTTAATTAAGAGAAATATTTACATTAATAACAACAAAAGCTAAACTTTATATACCAGCCATTACATTGCGTATTTGTGAAATTTATGTAAGGAATTTGCACCAAGTCTTTTGCACTCTCCTGTGTTTTTTGTCAAGGTCAGAGTGTGTGATTAGAACAAGACTTACATCTCAATGTCTAATCTAATTTGATTAGACGTTGAGAACACCCCTGCGCCAATGACTGGCATGGAGAAAAATTTCAAAACACCCCTGTGCCAATGACCAGCAGTCGGGAAAAAAATGTCAAAAACCCATGCGCCAATGACCGACAGTCGGGGAAAAAAATTTGAAAACACCCCTGTGCCAACGACCAGCATGGGAAAAAAAATTTGAAAACACCCCTGTGCTATAACGGTTCCCTCTGGAAAAAAATGAAAACGCCCCCGTGGACTTTGCCAGGCTGGAGACCGGGCATCGCCAGGGACCGGGCATCGCCGAGGTAATGAAAAATGAACGGGCCAGAGGTCTGCAGGAGTGTTTTTTTTTTAAAAACCCTGTTGCCAACTCGTTGCAGGAGCGTTTTTTCGGTAAAACCCAGGGGCCTTCTCGCTGCAATCGGAAAAAGCATATCTGCAGCGAGTTGGCCCCTGTTTACACTACTACCTACATCTCAACATCTAATCCAATTTTATTAGACGTTGAGATGTAAGTCTCTTCCTAATCACACACTCTGACTTTGACACAGTCCTCAAAAGACTGCAAAAGACTTTGTGTAAATTCCTTACAAAAATTTCACAAATACACAAGTGTGGGTTTTTATCCTATGTTGTTATGTCTGTGAGAAGACATTACCATTACTAAATAATAATAATAATAATAATAATAATAATAATAATAATAATAATAATTATAATAACAATAATAATAAAAGCAACTGTCCTCTTAGTTTTAGCCAAATGATTAATATTAAAAAAGAAACCCAAATTTCTAAAATACTTCCATCCATTAATCATGCTCTGCACATGCTATTAGTAATAATATTCTACATTAAAAGAAAAGTTTTGAGTCAATATGAAAAACTGCATAAATCATAGTCTGAATGGGATGATATTCTGCACAAATGTAACAAAAATCTTTCCAGGTGTCCCTGTTGGGTCATGCTGTTGCTTAGAAAGGCATTGGATAAAACTCAATCCAGCCCACACTAAACAACATTTACTCGAAGCCTTTCCAGGCCCTACTAGCCATCATTTAAGATTGCCAGGTAGTAATCTTGCAAACACCAATTATCCACCTAGCTGGTACCCTCCCTTCCCCCCCCAATTTCCACTAAATGGTAGCACCCATGCCAACCTCTGGTCCCCAGCCTCAAGCCCTGACAAATCCTGATAAAGAGGATTATTCTCTTAGAGGGATCTTTCTTTACTCCCAGAAAGAGAAGTAACTTGAACCTGAAAAGTATTACTCATGCCACTAATCACCTCCAGTTTATTAACTCAAATTTGAGCACAGTTAAGGGAAAGAGAGAAGGTATGCCCAATGACCAAGGCAAAACCTAGGGAGAGGTGGTAATTAACCCTTAAACAGCTGGCAAAATGACCCCCAAACCTTAAGAAATGAGCAGACCATACCCACAGACTGCTGCAGGAACAGCAGGGATAACAATCGCATCTCAAACATAACGTTAAGATGAATAACCCAGATTTATTCATCCTTCCCATCCTCAAGAGAGGGAAGCCTTGTGGAACACCTGGTTTAACAGCATAAAATGAAAGCCTTGCATCACCTAGAAACTGCTGTACCTTCTAATCAGGTAAAAGTAGGAATAATAAGGGTAACTAGTGCAACAAGATACAGATGCAGTCATGTAACTGATGCAACATCAAGCATCAAAGCAAGATGGGCTGTGAAAATGCCTGCCACTACACATAAAAGGATCAGGACAATAGTTAGGTAGTTTAAACCAGCAGTGAATTGCTTTGTGCACTGTTTATTCTAGTGTTTATCCCACTGTATTATAAAACCTCACAGATTATAAATACAGTACATTTTTTAATGAGGATTCACTAATGTTAAATGTGGCAGTGTAGGGAAAATTTCTGAGCAAGGCCAATTTAGGGTGCATAGCTATATAAGCCACTTATATATAGTAGGCCACCCAGACCACAAAATATGGCAAGCTCTGATGATATAGGAATATTGGACCAGGAATAGTGACCATATAATGGGCGGCCAGGACCCTGTTCGACCTTCAAAATCCCAGCACCCGAATATCAGCCAAAGACATGTTGCCAAAGACGAAAGCCAAAGCCGCAAACTTCCGAACGTCATGGGCACGAGGATAGACTGCAGTCTGGCTAGACTTAATAACCATGCAGATGACCTGGGAGACTCGAGCCCTGGAACAGGTAACAATGGAAACCAGATCAACTCACAGCGCATCCCCAGCCACAGACGTCGAGGCTCACAGGTATCAGCAAAGAGCCGCAACCGGACACAACACATGATGCACATTCGGCCTGACCAACCAAGCATCAATGACCCAAGGATCCCTCCGGAAAGCAGCCATCTCATTCTTTGCCAGAAAAGGAGAAGGCTGCTACCGAACAAACCGATTACCAGGATCGAAAGAGCAGAAACACCTACACCAGAGGAGAGCACAAAGCTCACCAACCCGACCTCCAGAGGCCAATGCCAACAGAAAGAGGGCCTTGGAAAACAATCTTGAACCTAAGGTGCCATCACGAAACAAGAAGAGAGTGTGGAGAGCACCCTGTCCAAGGACCAGGACAGAACAAAGCATGAGAAAGTTAACAGAATGAGGCAGAAGTGACATCCACCCCGAACACAAGCTGGAGTGACACTGCTCTCTCCTTTCTGGGTGCCTAACCCTGGTCGATGGCAAATAAGAAAAAAACCCAACCACGGGGGAGGGGTTGTCAAAGGCTATTGCTCTCTGCGCCTCTCTGAGAGGGCCACATTCTGGCTCTTGGTCTCCGGTAGGCTGAAATCCATTGACTAATGCCCTGGTCTAATGTATCGCATATTAGCCAGATAGCTCCAGGGAGTCGGAAGGGCTCCCAACAGAACATTACACTAACCACCCCAATCTGCTCAAATTCTGCAAAAGATACTGTACAGAATGCTCTGCTCATGTACCCAAGCTGTCATACTGAGCACAGTTCCACAGCTGATGTTCAGTTCCCAGTTAGCTACAGTATGGAGGCCTTGATAAAGAAATTCAAAAGGTACTTGACCAAAGTCAGTGGTACCAGAGTCAGTTAAACCTCAAGACTACTCTATAAAAGTCAGCAAAACTATACAATCACTGGTGTAGCAGCACAGGAGCAGCATCAACAGTCTCATAATTGGCTGTGAAAGAGTACTGTCTCAATTATGTGAGTACCAGGGACAGCTGAGGGACTGGAAAATTCAACAAAAAGAATGAAATGAAACACCTCTTTCAAGTGGAACCCTGGTGGCTCCCTCGAGGTATTTTACCAAGCGTGTTCCATACTAAAACATCATCAGTTGTAGAAAGTTCTGTTTGGCCTATCGGAAACCAAAGCCAATGGTCTTGGCCTGCCCCCTCCCCCCCCACTCATAGAGGTGCAGGGAGCAAGTGACAATGCACCACCCCACCAGAAAAAGCCACCAGAGTCAGCAAAGCTTAACAGACAACTGAAGGGTTTACAGAAAATGAAGTCCTGAAACTGCCAAACAACTCCACAAGCAATTCACGTAGAACAAGGGATTCACTCAAACTAGGTCCCAACTTGTTAGCACCGAATACCACCAACAAGTGGCCAGGCCCAAGGCGCCTTCCATCTCAGTTGATGAACAAACAAATGACAAACCAATGAACACGGAGGTAGATGGGGGGGGGGGGGGGAATCAGGGGCTATCTTCTTATCTTGAGATGATTTCGGGGCTTTAGTGTTCCCGCGGCCCAGTCCTCGACCAGGCCTCCACCCCCAGGAAGCAGCCCGTGACAGCTGACTAACACCCAGGTACCTATTTTACTGCTAGGTAACAGGGGCATAGGGTGAAAGAAACTCTGCCCATTGTTTCTTGCCGGCGCCTGGGATCGAACCCAGGACCACAGGATCACAAGCACAGCGTGCTGTCCGCTTGGCCGACCGGCTCAACAATTTCGTAGCAGAGCGTAGTTACCAAGACTCCTCCAGAAAGAGGTGTTCATTGTACTCAATACTGGGTTTCTGGGGGAAACTTGCAGTAGTTCTCTGTAGTTAACTACAGAGAACAAAACAGGACTTAGCAGGAAGGGAGAGAGGCAGCAAACTCTAGAATAAAGAAGAGAAACCAGGCCAAAAGACATGGCCAAAAGCAACACATGACCAACTGGGCCAGGAATACTGACCAAATACTGGAATACCAGAACCATGATGGCCCAAAACCATTGAGCTCGAATATCAGTCCAGGACATATTGGAGAAGACAGTGGGCAAAGCCATTTATTTGTGAACATTATGGGCCCGAGAGGGAGACCACAGGCTGGCTAGATTTAATGACACTGATGACCTGAGAAATGCAAGACTTGAACAAGGAAACCGGATCAACCAACAAGGCATCCACTGAGACAGGACTGGTAGATTGCAGGCAGTGACAAAGAGCCACCACTGGACACAATAAATAACGCACTCCTGGCCAAACCAACCAAGCATCCATCACCAAATTACCCCAATCTGGAAGCCCTACAATGCCCTATTTGTCTGAAGAGAAGGCTTAAAAAAAAAAAAAAAAAAAAGGTTTAGAACCCTTGAATAAGAGCCTGAGGCTCAGCAACCCTTAAGCTGGAAGCAAGAGCCAACAAGAAGAAAGCCTTAGCCCTTGGGCTGCACCCTTGTTTGTAAGAGACAACACCATGGTACATGAGAAAAAACACACAAAAAATTCCTTCAAATACAGTACAATTATTAAAATGCATTCCCTGGTCAAACAAAAAAAAAAATGTACTGCATACGACTTACTTTGGCCATGGTGAAGCCAGGAAATCTCACAATAATGTCACGATTCAATGTGTGGGGCAGGAGTTGCAACAAAGACATTATTACATATTTACTTTAATGTCTCTGATACGTTTTCCTCTGGTCATTGCAGTAATATTATTCTATATTAATATGTAATAATATTATGAAATAAAATGTTTGGAGCATTGGAATGCTAAAATATAATTGTGTCACTAAGATGAGCATCATATTATAAGTTTAGAATAATAAACATTGTTTTGCAGTCATTACACTGTATAAACACCATATATAAAACTACCTTCATTTTCATGCACCATTACAAACCACAATGCAGTTCTGGTAAGTGTAATAATCTCATAACCAGTTATCAGAGTTTAACCAACCCCCCCATATGTTTTGCACAAAATTATAACTGCACACACAACGAATACAGTATATAACACATGTTATAAGAATTATGTGAGGAGACAATTATTTTGAGTTAATACCTTTGGTGACTTTGGTGACTTAGCAAGCTCCATCACCTCCTGATAAGCAACAGGAAGAAGATACATCAACGTTAGTACGCACAAAGCATCATAATTTAGTACAGCATTAGAAGGGGAATCATGAACATGTGAACAAAAAAATCAGCGTTGAATGTAGTGAAACGCCATATTTTGGGCGAGTCCCGGAGGCTCCCTGGAGCTATCCAGGCTGAATGGATATGTATATCTTTCTGGAATCAGTCAATGCATGTAGTTCTTGCCTACTGGGGACCACGAGCCAGAACCTGGCCCCCAACTAGAGAGGCACGAGGAGCAATGGCCTATAGAGACCCCCCTGTGGTTGAGAACATTCTATGTCTGCCATCGACCGGGATAGGCACCCCAAAACAAACCCCTATTCTGGTAAAACTATTGCGACCGAAGGTCGAACAAGTAGACAGAACAACCCCAAACGAAAATTAGCAAGCTAGTGTGATGTCATCATGTCGCCGTGCCACTGTCTGCGCAACCCCCCCCCTCCCCAGGCGGGGGAAGGGGGAGCCTCAGACCCACCTGCCGGCGACCCAATCTTCAGTTCTTAGGCTGGATGTCAAAAAGCGAGAAAAACACCGCCGACCGAAGGGAGGAAGGGATGCCGGGGAGCCTCTGGAACTCACCCAGAAAATGTTGTTTCATTACATTCAATGCTGTTTTTCTGGGGGGAGCCCCTTCGGCTCCCCGGAGCTACCTCACTACAGATAAGGAAAAGAGGGAAGGATCCGGTAGGCGGACGCCATGCGCCCTAACATAAAACAAGACCACAGACGAAAAGAAAGGACCTTGCCAACGACCCGGGAGACCCGAACCCCAGAACAGGAAAGAGGGAAGTAAGGGAATCCGAGCAAACCAAAATGCGTCTACAGCCCCAGAGGCCAAGACGCGCAGAGAACAGGGAAGAGCCACAACCGAACAACAAAAGAAAGCACCCCCGGCCTGACCAACCAAGCAGCAACCCAAGGACCTCTCAGGAAGCAGCAAACCCAAACATCACCCAAGAAGGAGACTGCATCAAAGGAACAACCTACCACGAGGACCTATGAGGCAGAAAAACACAAGCGCTAGAGGAGAGCCGGAAACTCCACGACCCGACCTCTAGAGGTGAACACCAACAGAAGAAGGAGACCTGAAAAACAAAAATACACCAGAACCGAAGGGATCATGACAACCGAGGAGAAGAAAATAGACCACCTGGGCCAGCGACCAGGACAGTATGGGAAGTGCAAGATCAGGTTGGAGGCGAAACCACGCCCAAGACAACAAGCGGAACAGAGCAGAAGGAACAGCAAGAATAGGAACCAGAAGGGCAGGAGTGGTTGACCGGAAGTCCACAACCTCCCGCAGACATTGCAACAAGGGAGAACAAGGAAAAAGTGAACTCGGTACCAAAACTGAACACCGAGGTAGTCCAAAATCAGGGAACTGAACATGGACAGAGGCCCACCCCAGCGTCTAACAGTATAGCCAATAAGCACCAACCAAGATACACAACCACGTGTAGCATAGAGGGGGGAAACAAACAGAAATAGGCAAGGAAAAGACTGGAATATGGACCAAGTAGCAGCCGGTAACGCAATGTACACGACCAACCACAACGTGTGGTGTGGGAGGTCGCACATACACAGACACACACCAAGGATATCAGGGTGCACCCAGGCACCAAAGATAGGTAAGGAAGGAGTGTCCAGAGATCATGTCAAGGAAGGAGGACACAAACACGGACCGAGGGAACGAAGGAATGTCCAAAGATCGAGAAAAAACCCAGGCGCCAAAAAACAAACAAAAGCACCGAAATGCGGGACAGTGTCCCCCAGTACAACAAGAACAAGAAACACGGACAAAGTAGTCACTGTAAGACACGCGCAAAGTGTCCAAGCAAAACACACAACACCTAACACCCCTGTTAGAAGCCAATGACGCTACCCTGTCAAGTGGGGAAGTGATAGGGTAGACAAGGATGAATCATTTAACACGGATGGTACATGCACAAGGGGATACAGGTGGAAGCTGAGTAACCAAATGAGCCACAGACACATGGAAAAAACTGTTTCAGTGTCAGTAGTCAGTAAATGGAATGCACCAGGAAGAAATATGGTGGAGGCAGACTCCATACACAGTCGCAAATGTAGAGAAGATAAAACCCAGTAGACTCGGGAAGCTGTACACCTGATGATTGACAGTTGATTGGCAGGACCAAAGAGCCGAGCTCAACCCCCACCAGCACAACTAGGCGAGTACAATGAGGCGAGTACCCCACCAAACAGCAAGAACCAGCACTCAGCCGACAGATTCGCCAGACAGTACAATCTCACCTGCAAAACAGAGGCAGCTCCGTGTCACGGCACATCGGAGCCGTACAATGGAACAGGAGCATTCCTAGTGGAGAACGTCCAGAGGTGCGAGCCCAGTAGAAGAAGACGAGGTGCATGCAGTACAGAGGCAGAAGCGGCGCCACTCAGAGCTGCCCCCTCACTCACTTCAGAACACCAAGTATCCAAGGGGTTATGACCGGAAAGAAGAGGAGTGAAAACCGAGTAGAATCCGCGAGAAAGAACGCTGAACACCCACACATGTGTGCACTGCCCAGAAACAAAAAGATCACCCCGGCCCCAGCACCCGAGGTACGAACCGCACTACCTGTCTTCTGGGCGGCTCGTACACCAGTCGTATGTACACATATTGTACATATACCAGCAAGGTGTATGTACATACATACAAGGCAAGGTAACAAATACGAGGAATATCGAAACTGGAAGGAGAAACGATGTGAAAACAAAAGAAGGACCAGAGGGAAACCTCACTGGAAGTAAACAGACGTCCCAAGAACAGCGGAAGTACCGAAAAGGTTCACGAACCAACGAAAACCGTGACAAGCACAAGCGCACGAAGGCACATACGGGTCCAAAGACCCCCAGACCAAGGGACGTGCAAGGATCCTGAAATGAAGGGAATAGTAATGCGACATAAGTGCGAAAAAGGTGAGGAAAAGGGGGGAAAAGCACCCCCAGGAAAGACGGAACTGAACGGACCCGAAAGGACACGGAACCGAACCCAGGGAGGGGTAGACCCGAAACCAACATGAATGCAGAGGGGAAGGGAAAACCCCACTCTGAGGAACTACAAGCCCCGCTCCAAGGGTACAAAACCCCAAGTGGGGCAAAATGGGGTCTAGGCCCCCCAGGCAACCCCTCCCCAACCCCGGGAACCCCTACGGCAGGACTCGGGGCCAAGTTGTTCCCCCCAAAGCCCCAGCCCCACAAGTAAAAGCTGGGGCAGCCATATAAAACACTAAGGAAGGCAGCCCACTGGTCAAACCCATACGGCACGGCTGGAAGAACAGGCTGGAATGCCTCCGCCGCCATCCCGGAAGAGGAAAACCCCCGAGACCGCCCGAGTCTCAACCCAACCAGACCCTGCCCCAACCCGGAAACCCGCCTACGGTTCGAAGCCAGAAGGAAGGGGAAGGAAGTATGCACAGCAGAAGGGGAAGGACGAGGAGGAGTGGAGGGAACTGGAGCCGAAGCGACTCCTACCCTCAAGTCTGGACCCCTTAACCAAAATGAGGCAGTCACAGTGCATCCTGGGCTGCAACCAACCTAGAGCGTTGCAGCAACCTAAACCTAGCATACAACGCCGCAACTGCTTGCACCCCGCACATCATTATCAGTGGCTTTGGCGAATGGGAGCAAGTTCAGACAACACACGTCACACGACTCCGGGTGAAAACAATCTTTGACCCAACAGGCAGCATGGCGGAAGCAAAATAAGCGAGTTTCACCCTGAGACAAGGGGACAGGGCAACCTTCAAACTCACAAGATGCAAGGGGGGACTCAGGGGTCGCATCTATCGAACCACGTAGCCCCCGTGGGGTTTCCGAGGGACCCTAGCCATGGTTACACGCTAAGGGAAGCCTAGGCAGGGTTCTGCAAACCGGCGCCCAAGTTTACCCAACAAACTGCAAAAGCTGAACCCTCCGGGACGTGTCCACTCACGGGGACCAAGCGGGGAGGACCACCAAACACAGAAATATAGATATATAAATATATATACCCCAAGAACAACAAGAGGACAGCGTACCCAGGCGGAACAGAACCGGCCGCTCTCATAGGTGAAAACTAGCTGTGCAGTACCCTGTGTCCCTACCAGTGATGAAAACTACCCCATACCCAGAGACAAACAAGGCTAAGAAAAAAACCAAGCTGACCCCAAGGGCGGCCAAGTACCGAGCAGTAAACGGCACAGCGGAGGTAGATCCCGAGGTGACTTGTGGAAGGAGGCCCCAAGCCCCAAGGGCAGTACTTACAGGGCACCTAGGGAAGGGAACCCTAGGCGCATGCAGCCCGAGTACCGTGGAATATCACTCTCGGCTCACACACCACCTGTAGAGACAGCCCACACCACAAGGAGCAGAACTGAAACAAAAACTGGAGCCTGAGGCATGACCGCACCAGACTTCCATCAGCCTAAGAACTGAAGGTTGGGTCGCCAGCGGGTGGATCTGGGGCTCCCCCTTTCCCTTCCCGGGAATGGGGAGGTTGCACAGACAGCGGCACGGCGACATGATGACGTCTTGCTAGTTTGCTAATTTTCATTTGGGGAGTTCTGTCCACTCGTTCAGCCTTCGGTCACAATAGTTTTACCAGAATAGGGGTTTGTTTTGGGGTGCCTATCCCGGTCGATGGCAGACATAGAATGTTCTCAACCACAGGGGGGTCTCTATAGGCCATTGCTCCTCGTGCCTCTCTAGAGGGAGCCAGGTTCTGGCTCGTGGTCCCCGGTAGGTAAGAACTCCATGCATTGACTGATGCCAGAAAGATATACATATTCATTCAGCCTGAATAGCTCTGGGGAGCTGACAGGGCTTCCCTCAGAAAAAATAATTTAAAGTATCAAGAGTAGAATATTATTAAATTAACATAACTTAAATTGGTATAAAACTCACATATTTTTGTTTAAATGACCAACAAGTAATTTACATGATAATCATTTTTGCAGTCTAATA